GTGTAGGGAAGGTGGGATGGGTAGGGGAAGGGTAATAAGGGAAAAGAAAAAAATGTGAGATAATGAAAAGATGAAAATAAAGTGTTTGTAGATGGGGAGGGGACGAGGGGGTGAAGGGAGGGCAGGGGTAAGGGGAAAAAAATGAGAATCAAGACTTGTCATGTAGAGGTACAAGATCCCAACAATGAATGTAACTGTACTGTATCCCTAAAATGTACCAATAAACTCAATTAAAGCTGAAAATAAAAAAAGAAAGGGTTATCTAGCTCACAGTTTGTATAGGTTACAGTTTATAATTGACTGGCTGCAAGGTAGGGTAGCATAGCAGAGGGACATCACAGAGGAAAAACAGTTCATAGTGGGCAGAAGGCATCAAGCAATAAGTGACAAGTAGTGACTCTCTCTCTGTCCTTTTATGTCTTATCCAGGATACTGACCTTTAGGGTGGATACCCCTCACACCCAGGGTGGGGCAGCCTTAATCCTACCATCACACCAAGAATCAGTCCCAGGGTCACATCCTTGATCCTATGGCACACACACCCTAGATCCAGCCACTTCCGAAAAGTTCCACCTATGACCATATGAGGCTTTGGGGGGACATCTAGAAAAGCCATAACATTTCGCCCCTGGCCCTCAAAAGACTCATGTACATCCTTTTATGCAGATATTTATAAGAGTTGCCAAAGTCCTAACAGCTTCAGCATTGCTGAAAAGTCCAAGTCCAAAGTCCTCTGAGATTTAAGGCAAATTCTTAGCTGGGAGCCCCTATACAAATGAAAAGTTGAACACTTCCAGCCCACAATGGCACAAGAGAAACATTGCCATTCTAAAAGGTATAAATAGGGGGATAGAAAGGAATGGAACCAAAGAGAGTCCAGAATCCATCAAGGAAAACATTAGGTCCTGTATTTCCATGTCCAGCATTCAAGGTAACCTGTGCCCAAGATGTGAATTCCAAAGGGCTTGGGTGGCTCTGCCCCGGTCACACTGTGTGGTGGCAGCTCTCAAGGCTTCTCTCTAGGGCTGGCTCTGCTCCCTCCTTGCAGTTTTCCTCAGATGATCCATATTTCTCGTTTCTCCGACTTTCTGGAATCTCCACTGGACCTTTAGCTTCACATACTGTCTTCTCAGGGCACACTTCCTGGCCTACCTGGTCTTCTTCTGAAATCTGGATGGAAGTCTTCCTGACCCTACAACTCCTACATTCTGCATGCACCTAAAATCAATATCAGGTGGATGCCAAGGTCTGGAGCAGTAGCCAGGTTTCTTCTCTTTTGGGTATTAAGGGTCTAATGCCTTGATTGCTGAGCATTCTGAACCTAGTCCTGAGGAACAAATTCTCTAGACCTCTGCCATTCTGGAACATGTTGCTCTGGGGCTCTCTTCCCCAAATAAAGCCTTGTAAAGTGATGTGGCACCACCAAAATATTCTTGCTATATCAGTCTCATAT